TAGAATTGGGGGTTAAGGACTACATTTCCAATGAAGTTAATAATCCTCAAAATAGAAGGGAATCTTTGATGTATATACAAATTTCTTCCTAACTGGATCATGATGAAGTATTCATTAGAGGCTGTGTTGCATGCTGTGTTGCATTCCTGGGTACTTCTATTAGACACAGGTATGGGGTGATGGATTCTTCATGGCATGAAGAAAAGATTCGGCGACAGGACTATATTATAAAAAGACAAAAAAACAAAAAAATCAGACATAGTTCACTTATATTCATCTCATTCTAGGTAGCCAAAAAAATTTAATTATGTTAATTGGCTAAATTAGTACATATTTTCAATGTTCATATGTATCTAGTGAAGTCTCTAAATGATGTAGTCAATACTCAATGAACAAGAAGAAGAATCAGTAAGAATATGTGTTGGTATGTGTGTCAATGCATGTCTGACTCGGGTGTGGCAACCAGACAAAAAAATCCATGTGATATAGATTAAATGGAGGGTTTCCTTTTTCAATTACATTTCTTATAAGATATTTCCAAATATTTAATTATGAAGGTATTTATTTTTTTGAGATCAGATTATAAAGGTATTTGTTATAGTAAGAGATACAATTGATTTGGTTTAGACGTAGTTACTCTAAACTCCACTCTGTGAGCCTCCTCAGCATGTGCCTTACCCCTCTAGAGTCACTCTCTTTTGTTTTTTTGACAAGCTTACGAATCTTTATTGATAACAAAGTGAAATTACAGGGTTACACAATGAAAGGAGAAATAAAAGCACCTGCAGCCAGCACACCTTGCTTAGCTAAAGAATCAGCCCTCGCATTCGCCTCCCTATACACATGATTGAAAGAGACCACCTGATTCAGACATAAATCCTGAACTTGCAGCCTGAATTTCCTCAAGTTCCAACGATGCTTACTTAATCCAGAGCACCAATTGGTAACATTGAGAGAATCCCCCTCGACCACCCTTCCAAAGGTCGGGCATCTATCTTTTAGCAGCTTTATCCCATGTAAAACTACCTTCATTTCAGCTTGGTTGGCTGTCCCACAAGGGCCATGGTAGAAGAAACTCTCCCACCCAAATAATCTCTCACAACCCCACCACAACCCGCCGGTTCTGGGTTCCCGAAGGAACTGCCATCAAAGTTCAGCTTAACACATCCTTCACCAGAAGGGTACCATACTCTATGCAAAATAGGCCAATGAACATGATGATGCATAAGGTTGCGAAGATTGAGGAGAACGTCAATCTTGGATACACCAAAGCCTTCTTTCGTATTGGATAACCAAAGATACACATTTTGAACCACCTTCTATTGTACTCGAGCTGTCTCTAAGCACCTCCCTTCCAAAATACATCTATTCCTCTCAAGCCATACCTCCCAAAGAATCGAAGCCCTGAAAATTTGCCAAATTGTGGTGCCTAACATGGGTGTAGAGGGAATAGAGAGTTGCTCAATTATAGACGTATCTTTTCAGTTAAGAGGTAACAAGAAGCCAACTAACTGAAAAGCCCATCTCCAAATAAACCCAATAAGACTACAATGGAGAAACAAATGGTCACCTGTCTCCTCGTCCTCCTTACATAGAATGCAGCAATTAACAATTATTTTATCCTCCCTTCTCAAATTGTCCACCGTCAACACCTTATTTTGAGATAAAGTCCATAAGAAGAACTGAACTTTATGAGGAACCCGCCATTTCCAAGTAGCTATTAGATTAGGCTGTTCCCATCTCACTCTATCATGAATAGTAGAGAATACACAGCTTTAACCAAAAAATCCCCATTATTATTTAGTTCCCACACCACCTCATCACCATGGTTCCTAGATATATATATGAATTCCAAATCAGTCATAAGATTGCAAAATTGATTTAGCTTGTTATCCGGAGTTCTATTGTACATGAATTGAATATTCCATGATATCCTATTCGAGGACCAGCAATACACTCCTCCACCTTGAGAGAACTATTAGTTGCTTTTTCAAATAACTCTTTATACTGTACTTTAAGAAGGTTTTGTCCTAACCATTTATGATTCCAGAAATCAATCAAATTTCCCCTACCTACCTCCCACGTCACATTTCTGACCACCACTTCCTTATTAGCAAGAATCCCCTGCCAAATTTGTGACTGGCCACTACCTCTTCCTCTTCCAATAAATCCAGCATGATCCACTCCATATTTGGCAATAAGAACATCTTTCCACAAATGCTCTCCTTCCACAATAGATCTCCACCACCACTTAGAAAGGAGCTCGTGGTTCACCAACTTGATCTTTTGAATCCCCAATCCCCCTTCCTCCTGCGGTTTACAAGCCTTATCCCAACCAACCAAGTGATATTTGCGATTACCATCAAAGAACCCCACAGAAAGTTGCGCATAAGATGCTCAATTACTTTAACAATGGGAGCAGGCATGTGCAAAAGAGACATTAAGTACACCGGCATATTAGAAAAAGTCGAATTAATCAGAGTAACACGACCTCCTGGAGAAAGAAACTTGGTTTTCCCTAAATCCAATTTGGTATTAACTCTCTTCAACACAGGATCCCACACCAATCTAGAAAGTCTTGAGTCTGAAATTGGGATACCAAGATAATTAATAGGGAGTTTACCTACTGCACAGCCCATCGAACCAGCCAGCTGACCCACCAAAGACTCTTTCACAACCCACACCCACCAAAGATGTTTTTGCAAAATTATCCTTAAGCCCCATAGTGGCTTCACAGCATCTCAAAAATAGAGAAAGTGCTTGCACCTGCTGCACAGTTGCATCACAAAAAATAAGTGTATTGAGCTACATGTCACTCCCTCTAAATGTGGCTTAATATATATAGAATGAATATGTAGAATAGATATTCGTGGTTATTCGTCTGTTTGACTTTCATGAATGGTTCTAGTTAGGAGTGCACTTTTCTCTTTTATCTTAATGGTTTTTGCTTTTAAGGGATGGAACCATTTGGAATTTCAAACTACTTGTGTGAATATTGTGGCAATGTTTAATGGCAGCCCAATGAAGGGAACATTTTACTGTGTGATATATCTATGTCCTGGCGATTACCATCGAGTGCATTCCCCAGTGGATTGGCATGTTTCTCATCGTCGCCATTTTTCAGGTATATTTTTCATTGTATTAGGTTTGACTTCTCTCGAGAATTTTAAACGACATTATTTGGACAATGTGAAAAACTAATTGCGGCTTGAAGCATGCCATAATAAATGTGGAAATCGTGGTATAAACATGATTTTTATGTTCGTTATAAAAAAAACATGATGTTTATGTTGCACAATACACGGCACCCCATGTCCATTCTCAAGATGGATGGTGGGGATGAACCGTACTTCGGCCTGAATGTCATCTTCAGACCATGGTTTGTCTCTGCTGTTGGCCTTGAGAACATGCATTTTAAGCACATGCATCATGCAAATGCCATAGTCTACCCAATAAATAAGGTATGACCCTGTATCTATTAAGAAGGATGCCATGGTCTACCCAATAAACAAGGTATGACCCTGTGTCTATTAAGAAGGAATAATGTTAATAACTACATGTGGGAAGTTTCTCGTTACCTGCTCATTCTAGGTGTTGTATATTTTCAGTTTAAAGGATGATATATCCATAGGATCATAACATTAAGTCGTCCTTTCATAGAAACTCAAGGATAAGTACTTAGGAAGATGTATCAAACATTAAGCCAACCATTGGAGAAAAACAGCAATTTGGTTATACGCAGTTGTCTTCCCCTCTTTCTCTTTTGGTTATGTACAGATGTCTTTTTCGTCTTCCGCTTTTGGTTAATGCAAGGTGCACTGCAGATGGTTCTTTCCTTCTTCTTTCTTATGGTAAAGCAAATTATGTTGAAAGGTTGTTAATTCTTGAAAAAAAATCATTTTTTAAAACGGAAAACGGGGAAATAGTTACATGGTGTTTTGAAGGGAATCGAAAAGTGACTAGAATGGCACTGTTCTACCCTCAAATATATGTGATGTTTCATTATTGAGTGATTTCATTTCTTGGTGTTCGCACTTTCCCAAGATTTCATTGAAAATCACATACATTTACGAGTAACTGATTGAATTGTTTCTTTGCAGGCCGCCTTTTCCCTACAAATGAACGAGCTACAAGAACAATAAGAAATCTTTATGTTGAGAATGAAAGGGTAAATGACTTTCTATTTCTTCAATTTCTAAGACTTAACACCAGATATTTGTAACGAGAATCGATTCCATGGAACCCATTTGAACTTGTCGCTTCTTCCTGGTGATGTTAATAATGCACTTCTTTTAGTTGCATTTCAGATGTTACCCAAAGAAATGGTGCAGTGCTTGCTATGTTTTCTATCATGATTTGAATTAAATAATGTACTGGATTTTGTATCTTCTTGCATGCCTTCTTTGTCATTTGTTTAGGCTGAGTACCAAATCAACACATGCCCATATGGTTGAAAATCATGGATTCCATGAAGTTTGTGAGCGAATTGACACACTGCATGTGAATAGGTTGTGCTTGAAGGGCGGTGGTTGGAGGGATATATGGCAATGGCAGCAGTTGGAGCAACTAATGTTGGATCTATACAGGTTTGATGGCTTCCTTGCCATGTGCTAAAAGCATAATTTTATGAAGTTGCTTATCCTAGTGATGCATTTTTTTGGCTCTTAATTCCACTTTAGCATTACCCAAAAAACCAAAAAGCCCTTCTCTGTAGCACAGAGCATTTTTTTATGGGTGTGGTTTGTATAAGGTTGAGGCCCTTAACAATCAATGTAAGGCGCACATTTAAATAGTGTCGAAAGATTATTTTTCAGTCGCAAAAATCTTTGTGATGACCTGAAAATTTATTTTAATCCCTAATTATAAAATTTAAAGCTTAAAAAGTAGCATATATCGAGCAGATCTATAAACACCTGAAAATATTAAAAATTGACGGTCTAGATAATCATTACAAGATGCATTATTTCCTGGACTTGAAATCCATTTTTTTTCACTTCTATACATCTTGAGGTCTAGATGATTGATATGAGGGTTTTCCGACATCGAAACAGCCTCTTCTAATGAATTTTTGAAGTGCGCCTTAATTTGATTGTTTAGGGCCTCAACCTTAATTTGATTGTTTAGGGCCTCAACCGTATTAGTTTCATCTTTATCATGGTAGCAGTAGGATATAAATCTTTAGCGAACCAAGAGAGCATGTCTTCATTGTTGGAAAGTAATGGGGTCATCTCCATCAAAATGGAACGGAGCAACTGAGATGACCTTGTGGTGGATCTAAATGACTCTGTAACCTTCCATCTTTTTAATAGCGTGCAATGTTCTCAATGGAATATAGTTTTTCATTATGGATTATTCTACACTTCCCCAAAATTTTTATAGTGGTTATTTTTGTGGGCAGCTTTCCATCGAACCAGAGCTCAAGACGAACAGGCCCAGAAAGAGTTTGATGCACTCTGAGCCTCAAAATGAGCGTGAATACGAACCCGAAGGCACTGGTGTACTGATCAAGAAGGGGGAGGAGGTAACGAATCTTAAATTGAATATCAGTCTAGTTGCATTGCCTTGTAACATGAAATTTGCTTTTGAAGGTATGAAGTGGCATCAATCTTAAAACATAATATGGAAACGCTGTTAAGGTCTAAGAATTCCATGGATTGCTACTGGTTTTGGAATCTATAAAAAATATCTGTTGTTTTGCGTAGAACTTTATATTATAGAATAATCCCTCGGATCAGAGGTTTGATGCCTATTTTTACCTTTGTCACCTCGAAAAAGGGTGGGAGGGCGTGCATGCTCATCCGTGTGCCTTGTGTGTGTGTGTGTGTGTGTGTGTGTGTGTGTGAGAGAGAGAGAGAGAGAGAGAGAGAGAGAGTAGTGTAGTAGTTAGTTAGTTTAGTTTAGTTAGTTTAGTTTTACGTAATTACGTTAGTAAGTAAGTTAAGTAGTAAGTTAA